CTCCAGCGAGGTTGTGGCACGTGCAGAAAGGCTAAAGCTCCCTCGATGCATTGCGGCAGCGGTGGCGCTGTCAAACTGGCTGGCGAGATCGGTCTATTAGGCACGCAGAAGCAGAACCAGCTATTAAAGCCGTTCTGTGAAAAAAACAAGCCGATTCATACTTGGCTAGCCGGATTTTGCTAACAGATCAAAACCTCTGTATTTTGTTTTTACTATAAAAAACATATAAAAGTAACATCGAAAGTAACTTTACAAGTAATTCGCTTCTTTTTTACGGTAATTAGTAATTTTCTCAATTACTTTCTATTTGAGTAATTTCTACTCTGCTCAAATTACTTTTGACGTGGATACTGAGTAACCTAACTTAATTACTTCGTTTTGAGTAACTTGTACATGTCTGGTGTAGGCCGGCTGCTCTATACTCTGTTCACCCTTAAAGCTGATACTGCAGTGAAAGCTACGAGCACGAGCTTGCTCGCGTTCCTGGCTCTGAGACGTGTATTTCTAACGCGAGTGCTCGTTCTGCGAAAGAATGCTTCAAAGCAGCGACGACCTCAACTCCCGTGCTTGTGGCATTGGCGGCAGTCTCAGCCTTCGGGTGAACGGAGTATTCACTGGACGCCATATTTGAGGGCGATATTTAGAGCGCATGCTCGGAACGATCTCACAATAGTAGGCTGCTAAGAACGGCTATGTCGATATGGTTCGGAATGCACGTTGCAAAAGAACTCTGGAAGCTCGCCGTCAGCACGCGCTTAGCAGTTGCGGTCACAGCTATGGCCGCCAGAAAATACTCCCTATGGTCGTTCGCACCGTTCAGCTGCGGTCCCACTGCTTACCTTCGTAGGTTGTTCTTGGCGATGAAACGTTTATCGTGTTTTCCATGAACGACAGTTAATATTCTGGGCGCACACATTGAGAGCCTTAAATACCAATCGTTTTTTAAAATAAATGCTTCGTTGTTAAAGGCCGAGGGTTGCGACTAAGTTGCATCATAAGAAAAAAGGTGTAGTATTACGCCCTTTGTCCCATATAATACTCCTCGAAACCTCAGTTCGACGTGCAGTGAACTGACGTTGAACTCACGGCACCAACTTTTACGAGGGGCTTGATAACGGTGCGATGTAACTTATTTAACAGCTAAAGTATGCATCAATATAAAAACGAAATAACAAAAAAAAAAAAAAAAGAAAACAACATGGAGGTTTTGCAATACGGCCAGGAAAACCTTAATTTTTGTATTTTTTTTTAAATATTCAGTAACACGTACATCAGCTATTTTAATAAGTTGTACCACTCGGCTACCAAGCCACTCGTGAAAGTTGGTACAGTCAGTATGACGTCAGTGCATTGTACGTCAAACTGAAGTTTTAGGAAACCCCTTTTTTCTGCGACTGCGGGAGTAAACTGTAATGCGATTCAGTGAGGCATGGTTTGTTGAGAGTCAGTGTGGAGTCGTTCATGATCTCGAAGTCATCAGAGCTTGGCAGACGATAAGTTAAAAGGCATTTTACTGGAGCCATTCGCATCGTTTCAAGCGCTTGTACAAAGTACTTCAGCTGAAAGTTTTTTTTTTTTTGAACTGCAGTGAGGGCTTCTGGGACGAACTAACACTCGGAGCGTGTCGGTGATTTTTTGAACGTGTAATTTATGTCGCAGTTGAAGCAAGCAGCGCCGGCACAGTACGTGGTGCTCCGGCACTATTGATTTTTTTTTTTTAATCGGCGTTTGTACACTTGAGAAATACCGAGTGAATCTCCAAGCACCCGTTGCAATGATCGCAGCACATCGTAAAATACTTGCCTTCGAGCACCACGAAGCATCTTCAATATTCCTAGTTTCGTGCGTTTCTCCCGTAGATTTGCGTGTATTGCCTGGTGTCGAGCAATTGCCGCCGGTGGTGCCACCGACGGGTTTCCGATCCGCGATCCAACCTACTACAATAGAGACCAATGGTGTTTTTCTTCCTCGTACGACGAATCTGTCCCACTGGTGACACAGAAACTGTGTGCAGCCATGTTGGAACCATGCTTATGCATAAAAGAAACATGCATGCTTCCAATAATGCTTGAGAGCAATCTGCAGATGATTCCGCCATCATGTCTTCAGCAAACACAGTGCCTTTTGTATGATGTACGAGGGGAGTTCCATGAGTTCTAATCCTTACATAGCAGCGAAAACTCTAAAGCAAAGAACGCAGTTTTATTTTTCAGCCCAGCCCACCTGAACGTCAGCACACTTGCCACATCGCTTTCAAGTTCTCTTATTCTTGAAGAAAAAAAAAACACCTTTTTGTCACTTCCCTGAAAAGAGTGATCAATTGCCTCCATGAGGTCATCATCCGCGAGAAATTGGTGTCCTCGAAGATTTTTATACTAATGTCGAAACAGGAAGAAATCACTGCAAACAAGGTCCGGAGAATAGGCTGGATTGTTGGCGAGTGGGAACCCTCATTCGCGTACAGTGTTTCGTGCAACGTCGGGCGTGTGCGCTGGAGCGTAGTCGCGAAGAAGCAAAATCCTCTTGCTCAATTTTCTCCGGCGTTTTTCTTTGATGGCCTAACTCAACCTAACCAGCATTTGGGTGTAATAGGCCCCCGTTATCGAAGTTTTGGGTGATAGGTAATCGATCAGCAGAACACCATCCTCATTTCCAAAACATGTCGCCATGATCTCGCCCGCAGAGGCTGTCTTGATTTTTACGGGCGGAGAAGAACTCCTGCGCTTCCAGGCCATCCTTTCAGCGCTCGTCCTGTCCAGTTCCTTCCTCTGTCCTTGCAAACATTCGCGCTGTTCCATTATGATTCCTTTCTTGTTTACTTCCGGGGTCCCCGTGGTAAATCCAGGATGCATCCCTCGTTACCAATCACCGGTAAAAGCAGCCCTCATAGTCGTCCATTATTGGTATTTCACTACAACATTCCACTCGGTCCTTCTTCATCTCAGGCGTCAAGATTTGGGGAATTCAACGCGCACTGACCTTGGACATACCCACATGCTCGTGAAGCACCGTTTGCACAGACACAGTACTAATGCCCAAAGGTCATATTCCCGAAGAGATTCTTAGGCTACGACAACTTAGCTAAGACGTTTTTAAGCTAAGAAGCTAAGAACATTTTAAGGAGAGTAGAAATCGGTATTCACGAACGCGTTCTTAAGTGAGCTGTAAAAAGGTGATGTTGAATTAACCTGAGATTGAATTAAAAAGGACACTCTCGGGTTAATTCAACATGGCCGATATATTAGTTGGTGTGATAAACTGAGAACAAAACGGCTCGAACATTTCAACAACAGATGCTGACGGAGACGCAAGTAGTCTAGCCGACATATCATTGCGGAGAAAACGAAAGAAGACGTCTGTGTTTTGTCTAGCTCCCTTTTCATTGTCTTAGGAGATTCACGATTTCTTTCAAACGTTAGCTTTCACAAGTTCACCCAGAAATGTGTCTTTGCAAGCTGGACAACGACTGCACGTCAGCGAAACAAATGAATTTTAAAGGTGCAGAGACAATTTAAGACACGCTTGCCGGATGTAGGGATCGGAAATTGCTGTATCAAGGCCTCGGCGTCAGCTTAGTAGCTCCGTTTCACGTGGCGCAAATTAGTTCCTTCAAATTAGTGTTCCTTAGGCCGCAACTCCATAATCACCATTAGCCCATTATAAATGCCAATTATTATGATGATGATGATTATGATGAAGATTTAATTCCTGTGTGGCTCAGCCACCGTAATCCTCAAAAATTGCGGCGCCTGAGACGCTCATTAGCTCGCAAAATGCATTTCCTTTGCACCGTGGTTTCCTTATAAATTTCTAATGAGACTAGGATTTTTTTTGTTATAAATATTTCTGGAACTGAAGTGCAGCTCTCTTTTTTTTTTTTCATTTCTATTGCTACTGAAGTTGTTGTTCGCGGCTTGCCGTAATTTAGGGCTGTTTATATCGTTCGCAGAAACGCGGTACACTATTCCGCGCCATTAGAGCATATTAGAGTGTAAAATTGTTTTTCGGAAAATATTGGGTTTCCCAGATGTTGAAAGTTTACCAGCTCGTCTGCAAGCTCTTTTTTATTTATACTTAATGTGTGTTTAAACTATTTGAACCGCGCATACGCTTGGAGTTTTAATCGTTGTTGCATATTTCAATAACAATATCCGATAACGATATGGTAGAGAAAACGTTTAAGACTGCACGTTTTGTAAATCGCTGTGAGGCTGCTTTGTTACTCGTTCCCTGGTTAAAAGACGTTAAACCTCCCATAAAAAAAGAAGAATTAAACAAACGTTTGAGTAGATTATTGAATTATAGGAAAGAAGGACACATATCTTGTGTCATAAATCAATGCCGCTAATCAACCGGTAAAAAAAAATATCTCCTTCAGTAGATGCTAGCCAAATGTGAGATTCGGGCAGCTAAGTTAAGACAATCGGTAGTCAGGAGATATTCCCAATAGTCTCGATATTCCGTAACGATTCTCTCCAAAAAAGAATCACCTGCTCAAAACGCCCAATAAGTTAGCGCATGCGCGATGGGGTCGGTGAAATATGAAGCATCGTTATGGAAATACAAAAAAAAAAAAAAAAACTATTAAATCTTTGTAATATTGTTCTCGCTCCCCTCAATTGAGTTACCTTTTTTTTAGCGTAGGATACATTATAAACCTGGATACGTAAAAAAAAAAAACGAATATAAAAAAGTGACAAAAAACATTCTTAAAAAATGGCACATAAAAGTGATACGGGCGACGCCATCCACGAAGTTTAGCGTTCTTCCCTGGAAACGACGTCGTCCGCTATGGTTAGATGCTTACGTCCCGACAAATTTAGTGGACGCTAGTCACGAGACATGATCGCGTAACCACGCCACATGACGACCCTAGGTAACGCATTAAATTTAGTCAGGAATAACGGACCGGAAGTTTCTAATTGTTTGTGTTCCCCTCGAAGTCCGCATCGTGTTGGTTTGTGGTTCTCATGAAATGCGCCACTCGTGGTTTGCCACAGACGCTCCGCACCGGACCCGCTACTACCAGGAGAGCCGTGAGGGCAAGTACCGGGGCCCGTTGTTTGTCTTCAGCCACACCGTGTTCAGCATGCCGCTGAGCGTCATCAGCGTCTTTGCGGGAGCCACTATCATCTACGCGTGAGTACACCCCCTCACGCCGACCCAGAACAGATCCATCAGATATCTAATATATCTCATAATATAGCCCGAAAACAAAAACGTTATCTCATAGGCAAAGGCAAGGGGAGTACTTGCTCATTAAGTCGTCCACCAAGTTATAAAATGAGTAGTTTCCATCAATGTAAAAAGTAAATTGCCTAGCCTGTTTCACACATCGTGACTCGTCGAAACTTTGAAATGGCTGACCAACTAGAGGCTGTATAAATATCCACACAACCCCAATTAATATTTTCCACCTACACGCGGACAACGTCACTTTTTAAGAGTGGGCTACATTTGGAACTTGATATACTACTGTCCACAGTTATTATCCATAGCGTGAACCAATGTTGACACGCCTCAATGGCAGACCAGCCTCTCGCCGTTCAACATTTAACGTCGAGTTTGTTAGTTCTCCTATCCTGCGGTGTAGATTTTTTTTATTCAATTTATTTTGGACAAAACAAATGCGCAGATACCGAGAGTGGGCGATTATTCAGGATAGGCTACATAGGCCATATAGTCATTTACACGGCTCTCTCTGTTTTGCACGCGACCCCGCTGAACTAGGGAGATGGTCACGTAAAATATTTGTACAAACCTTAAAAAAAAAAAAAAATCGCAAAAAACACAAGTAGAGAACACACACAGATATAGCGCTGTGCTTGTATGTCTTCTACTTGTCATCGTAACCTCTCTTGTGCTGTTTTATTTATTCTGATTATGCAGCAACTCGTCCCATTCCAAACCTTGCTACAGGCTCTAAGTCGTTTGTTCCGTTGCAGAGGGACAGGCCTCAGGATGGACTGGCAACGCTGGGCCACCTTCTGCGGTGTCCTCTGGTGCCTGTACGCCCTCGCCGAGCAGCAGACGGTCGCCCTCATGATGGTGGTCAAGAGTTCCTACGCTGCCTTCAGGGCATCCGCCTGCATCCTGTCCATCTGCATCGCCCTGGCCTCCGGTACCGTCCGCAGCCTGGTGGTCCTCCCGGACTGGACGTACTACCTGACGTACGCCACGCTGCAGCGTTACGCAGCGGCCTTCGTGCAGCAGAACGAGCTGGACATGCACCCGGGCCTCGAGAACTTGCCGTCCTTCAACGGGACCCTGTGCGGACCCAACGTGGAGAGTGGACGATGCTTCTTCGTGAACGGGACGCACTACTTGGGACACAAGTTTCGAATGGGCGGCAGGGGACAGTCCGGAGTGGACGTCTTGTACTGGCTCAACTTTGGCATCTGCTTCGCGTTCGTGGGCTCCTTCTGCCTGGTGAACGTCATCTCGCACATTATTCCGCTGCCGGCTTCTATCAAGTCCAAATTCAGAGATTAAAACACAGCCCGATCTTCACCAATTTATTTCAAGTTCGGAGACCAAAGTCCAACACTGCTTCAGAAGTCCAACACTGCTTCAGAAGTTCAAGTTCAGCGATAGATAACATTGTGTATCACCGAACCTGAAGACAACCCTAAGTTCTGATATCAATGTGCAATGTTGAACATGAAGACATGTCTGAGTTTATAGCAGTCATACATGGGTCCTAAATACGGGTCCAGGATCAGTGCAGTTCATTATGACGAGCCAAATTAATGGCATTAAAGTACAACATCGAACCTGAAGGCAAGTCCATGATCAGAGTAGTCCAACACTGGTCCTAAATTCAAGTCGACGGTCAGAGTAGTTCAACATTGGTCCTAAAAACGTGTCCAAGTGCAGAATAGTACGAGACGGGTTCCTTAGGCAAATCCAAGCTCTAGCATCAAAGTAAAACATGGGCCCTGAAGACAAGTTCAAGTTTTGAAATCGAAGTCCCGCCGACAAATACGTCACGAATTAATCTGACGCCTGACGCCGGTGGTGAAAAATATCGTGAGAACACTGCCTTGCCGCTGCGCAAACGCTAGAGGTGCTCGGTGCCGCTGAGGCGGCGAAGAGAACACTGTACAAGTATATTACTAATAATACTAAACGCAGCACACTTTCCTGAAGCAACTGATGTAGCGTTAGGAATATCTGAAAAAAAAACAACGAAAAAAAACAACAAAACATTACGACGACGTTACAAATTTTGAAATAGCGACCTCATGTCAACACCACGAAGAACGTGTTACGACTGTCGAGGTGAAATCGCGGTCTCATGTCACAATGAACTGACAGATCGGGACATACGTTCGTTGCGCCGTTATATAACATCCATTTCTCCTCTTTTTAGCTCGCTTTTATTTATGGAAACAGACTGATACGTTCACGGCGCTACCACTGCCATCCAACGATCAACGTGCTGTGTATGTATATAAAAGCGTTTAATAAACGTATTGTACAAATAAAGGGCAGTCCCGTCAACGAACGGCACATTGAATTTTGAAACCGCTCAACGTTTTTTCGTGTTTCAGAGTTACCTCGTGGTTACTGACAGCTTAAAAAAATGCAGGGCGTGGCTCATGACGCTCACGCTTCCCTATCGGTTCTTCGGTGTGATCGAGACCGGTTATAACAAAGTCAACAGGAATCGGAAATCACTTCGCTATATCCGCTATTTCGTTATAACAAACTTCGTTATAACCGGTATCGACTTACAAAAAAAAAAAGAAAAAAGCCGTAACCCCATTGGGTGCACAGTGGTAACTAGATATGACAATAGCGGCCCGCGTCCCCTGGGCTGTCGGTGGCCGTAAACTCTTTTATTTACACTAAGCTAATGGCCGAGCGCTCACTCTCTGGCAGGGGGACGTCGGTCCCTCAGCTGAGTCATTACCACGCCCTCCGTCTCATCCACAATTTGGAATACGACTGACTGCGGTAACTTGAAGCGGCCGCGATTCCTCAAGAGCGCATGCCCGTTTTGAACGCCGCGTCAATTTAGGCCGCGGTCATGCTTACACCACATCTCATCATAAAAGAAGACAGTCTGGAGGCACCGTCTGAAACGTGTTCCTTTCTTGTATGGCGATCCTGTCATATCGGTAATAGACATTGGTTATACATACCGGCTATGCATATAAGGCTTGGGACATAGACGTGTCAGCAGTTGATTCTGTCACCGTGTCTTTAGCGTCTGCGACTTTAGCCGCAAAGCTTTCAAAAACAGGCCTACAGATTCGGCCGCACGCACACGCAAGCACATCCAGCTACGTAGATCTCCAGCCCTCGACGGCGCGGTGCCTTGTCGACTAAAGTAGCGGCGGGGGGCCTTTGAAGCGAGCCGCTAATGAAACCGCTCGGCTCGGCCCCATTCGGAGAGGCAAGCGAGCGGAAGCGAAAACTGCGGACACGGCTTGCTTCCGACGTACAAAGTAGTCCATTGTCGTCCGGTGTGTGTGTTTGCGCGCGGGGACAGTGGCGTGTATACATCCGCGCGCGGCCTGCGGCGTGTGTGTGTGTGTGTGTACTTTGCAGCTCCGCGGATGCGTCAACGTAACTGTTTCATCCCCGATTTTTCGAGCCTCTACGTGTTCGTGTCTGTATACGTGTTTCTGTAGGAAAAAGAGCGGCAGGAATGGGAGATGGAGGGGGAGAGGTGGGGACACCCGGGTTTACGCTTCAGGGGGTCCGGGTGTTGGGTGCGATGTGTGTATGTTTCCTATAATGTGAGTCTTTGAGACACGCGACCGCGCGCCGCGCCACCAGTGCATGCCGTGTGAGGGTTCCGAGCGCGAGAGTTTGTCGCTGTGAACTGCGCCGCCAATAGTACGTGTGAACACAAACGGTTTCTTTTTTTTAAGAAAAGAAAGCGTAGTTCTTCGAGTCTGAGCGCATTTTTCTGGGGCTTGCTCAGGAGTTATGCCCATGTACTCACAAAGGGACTTCGGTGTTGGGAATGAGCCACATGGAGGAATGTCCGAAGACGAAGTAGTTTGGGAAAGGAAGATCGTCCTATAGGGTGACGCAAGTTCGCCGAGGTACAGATACCATTTTTGCTGCTGGCTTCAAAAGCTGCAGCGAGTAATGCCTGCAGACGCCCTCTTGTTTACACTTTGTTTCTTACTGGTTTCAAAAGTCATATTGCGCAATAGTTTCACATCGAACAGATAAGGGACCTAGAGGAAGTCAAATGCTGTAACTGATTGTGCTTATTTTTTTTTTTACCACTGTATCTGGTGCAACATATAAGACGTCTCCTGTTCACGCCATGCTCAATGTCTCATCACAGACTTCGTTACTTTCAAATGTTGCGGCATCATCGGTTGCCTAAATTTCCCAATGAACAATTTTTGCCGTAAAAAAGGGGAAAAAATGAAAGTCGCTTACAAATCTCTGTAATGCGAAACTAGAGCGCAGCTCTTGAAGAGGATCAGGGGAGAGTATGAAGGGGAGGGTATTCCCATCCTCCTCCTCCTACCCTCCTCCTACCGCTGAATTTGTTCATGGATGACGTGACGCGAAGTTCTGACATCATTTTTCCCGCCAAATTTAGCGGAGAAACTGAATGGGTGTTGAGGTCAAGTGGCATCCATTAGCGGGGAAACTTTACCCGCTAAATTTAGCGAGGAAACTTTTGCTAAATTTAGCGGGAAATTTTGCGATAATTTCTCGCAAAATGGAAGGGGAGGAGGAGAGGGTACGGAAAGGGAAACGGGGCCTATCCCTCCCCTACATACACCCCTCCTCCTCCTCAAGAGCTGCGCTCTAATTCGGCATTACAGAAAATTGTTAACGTCTTTCATTTTTTTAAAAAATATAATTCCCCAAAGAGCCTCCATGATTGGATCTTTGTGTGTTACGTAGAGATAAAAAAAAAATGCACTGACATTTGTTTTGCGGTGAGGGAGCAAGCGCGTTGAGTCGACCCAACTGAAATATGTCACATACTTGGGTAGTAATTCAATTACAGTAATTAAATTATTGTAATTTAATTACTTTTCCTGGTAATTTGTAATTCTAATAATTACTTTTGCCTAAAAGGAATTGTAATTGTAATTTAATTACTTTCTAGCGTCAGTAATTGCTAAATTTTTGGCACAATTACAATTACTTTCGCAAGATTTTGCGGCGGAGGCGCTTTTCCCCCCTGGCCACGGAGACGACAGCACAGCCAAAGCGACAGGGGAAAGAGTGTCTCCCAACTTGCTCAAAAAAAAAAAAAGGGAAAAGAGGGATGGGAAAGAGAGGCTGGGATAGAACGGAATGAAGGATTTTGCAGACTTTAAAACGACTTAATAAAGAATTTGAGAAATAATTTGATAAATGAGGGCTACATTCGCGTCCGTTTTCGTTCCTGTCGTAGTTGAATCTGATTCTTCGTCTCGTTCGCTTCCTGTTGCTCCTGTTTCTAGGGGTCTTTCTTATTTCACATTCCCATACGGGTGCATCGGGGGTCGAAGTCGAGCTGGTTGGCTCCGATCACATCATCCGGTCGAGGCGAGGAGGTTCGAGGTTCTCCTTACGCGTCTTCGCCGCTGGCATATTGGCTTACATATTTCAGTCAAGTTTGGGGACTTTTTTGTTAATGAAATTATTATCTTTTCTTTATGAGTTTTTTACGTCCTTCTCCTATATCTCGTATGTTGGTACCACTAACAGTAAGTCGTGCTAGTCTAACATCGAGGCGAAGAAGCAAAGAAGCAGCAGGTCTCATCAACACGACTCACCCTGCCTTACTTCCAACTGTTGTTGCTACACTGCTCTTCCTTCTCCCAATCCTCGTCTACCTTTTTGTATAAATCTTCATTATTTAGTGTTCACTCTACCTAACCCTTTCAACCGTTTGTCAGCCTGATTGGACGAGATTCCAAAACTTACAAACCGCGGCTTTAGACTGTAGGGAGCTTGTTTTTACATTTGTTGTTCGTTGAAGGCTTCTTTTTTCTTTTTATAGAGGGCTTGGCTTGCACTTTGTTTTTACACCTCTATCGTGACCTTCCACCCGTTGTCCTCTCGTCCTGGCCTGTGGAGCCGTCCCGAAGCGCGCAGTGCTGCTTTGCATTGAGAACCTGGAACAGTCTTATCTACAATGGAAAAGGAAAGGCTGTCGGGGCCTTGTTACGAAAAATTCTTTAAACCGATTAGCAGCAATGCAAAAAATATAATCGTGAGGTGCAAACTCTCCGCACCGTCTCTGAAAACAAATTCAACAAACCGAAAGGCTACCTCCACTTTGCGGAAACATTTGCAGGTTAGCAACTTTTTTGTCACTTTCAATAATACTTACAGTTTAAAAAAAATAATAATAATAATAGCTCGTCTATATCTTCCAGCTGAAACACGCTCAAGTAGATCATGAAATTGAGGCGTCCAAGAGGCCGCAGTTTTGGAATAATTCGCGGATTCTAATTTTCGCGACGCGGTGGGGTCGCACTATAGATTCCAATGTGTTTACATTTTACCGGAATTGCTCGCGGGACTTATTTTTCGTGAATTGTAGGCGAATCGCGAAATTCGCGAAAATAAAGTCGTTCACAGTGTATGATGAATTTTTCGAGGTTGTTCTTGCCATGCTAAAGTCAAATCGGTCTTTTTTATGAGACGCATAACATCGATACGATCATTGCTATCCTAATGATTAGCTATATGGCGATCCTAAATTTATTATCTATCTCAGGAGCTTTTTGGGTGTTACCGTGCACTGAATTACCCAGAATCCCTGGCAATAGAGTTGCTGCTATTGTGACACTAGTTTTGTGGAAGCGACCACAGTTCGCGTGCTACGGTTACCCACATCCGGCATGTTACAATTCCACAGACAGGGAGAGGCTGCGAATCATCATGGCTGAAATGTTTTCGTAAGTTGTCGTATTCTTTAAATGTTTGACGTCGTTTACAAGTTTCTCTTATTAGCCATTTTTACGTGAGTTTTATGATACCGGTACTGTCGCATATTTGTTTCCTTGTATTATTTTAAAGTTTATTTTTTGTTGGTTTGACTTGGATGCCATTTGCATAAGCTCTAAGGAGATTCACCTCGCACCTGTGAATTTTGTCGCCCTTTATTTTTATTTTTTGAGAATATAAGAACGCAGGAGTTCATTACTCCAAAATATTAAGTTCTATAATCCATTTAACGAATTTCATAAAAGGAAAGTACAATGCGTGACATTTATACAGCGGCC